AGAAAAGCAAAGCTTTCTGATTTCAGCACATCCTTTACACATCAGAAAACCTAGAAAACTAGTGTATTGCTGGGACATAAAATAAATTATTACTGCTTATCCATTTCTCACATGAGCAGGCTAATGATGCAGGTGGATATTTCTTAGCAATTTCCTCCTGGTAGGCTGGTCATGTGTTAATAACTTAAAGCAACACAAAGTATAAATCAATGATTCTTTAGAAAATCTCAGTACTATCAGATACAAATCATGCTTCTTATAAATCAAGCTTAAAATTACAATAAATCAATGGTTTAAAATGAGGGAGGAACGTACTTTTGATGTAATATTTAATGTTAATTTTTTCTTGTCTACCTTGACTGTGATATGAAATATATATTGGAAGTATCATACTTTTTTTTTTAGCAGCTCAAATATCTGAAATTAAATTAAAATGAAATGTTTACATTTCATTATCATCTTCTACTCTTTAAATTTTAGCAATTACATAGTCTGCTTGTTAATATACCATTCCTGACAATTAACTACCATCTTAACCTCTAAATAACTTCCTATTTCCTATAATTCTTCATATAGTTGGTGGTATAAAGATTTAAAGCTAGCCAATTAGCCACCCACTACAGCCCAGTTAATCACCTGATCTTGAGATGGTCACAGGCAGTGGAGTATGCGATGATTTTTTTTTTTCCCCTTTTGCAGGCAAAGATTTAGGTAATTATGAGACTCAACAACACTCTCAAACATAAGGGACAGTAGGGTTCTCAATCAGAAGCTGTGTCATTGCTTCAGAACTCATGGCTTACATTCTAAGAGACACTGTCACGCAGAGACTTCTTTAATAAGTTTCCAAATGCCCTAATCTAGTCAACCATTGCTTATTTAGACCACGGTCTCACATCAAGGCTCTCTGCTTCCGAATAATGGCCAGTAATCCGTAGGTAAAGCTAACATCCCATCACATGACAGCCACACATTCAATTATGTGATTGCCTCTTGAACATCTGTCTAAAGGAAATGTTAATCCAAACTGAAGTTTCACAATACTCTTCGCTCCTTAACAAGGCCACCTCTGAGGAAGGAGAGAAAAGAGGAGCAGGGGGGATGCAAGGACTCCTGGGAACAAGGCATGGGGAAGACAGAAAGGAGGCGAAGGATTTGGGTGGGAGTGGGAGAGGAGAGGGAGGACAGGAAGGAAACAAGAAAAAGAGAAAGAAATCAGAGCTCTGGGACAGAGAACCAACAGGTTCCCAGTGAGTCCTGGTCAGGTAGCCTGATGGGGGACTGCAGCCAGTTATCACTGGGGCTTTGAAATGCTGATTAGCAGATGAACTCCCGTTCTCCAACAGTGAATGTGCTGCAGGGATGATCTAGCATTAATGACAAACGTGCCATAGACAGCATGTCTACAACATTTCAAAGTGCTGACAAGGCCACATGTTTCTGTAGGTCAAGACCTAAAGGAGCCAGGACCGGTTTGGCTCAGTGGATAGAGCGTCAACCTGCGGACTGAAAGGTCTCAGGTTCGATTCCGGTCAAGGGCATGTAACCTTGGTTGCGGGGACATCCCCAGTGGGGGGTGTGCAAGAGGCAGCTGGTCAATGTTTCTCCCTCATCGGCGTTTCTAACTCTCTGTCCCTCTCAATTCCTCTCTGTGTAAAATCAATAAAATATATTTAAAAAAAAAAAAAAAGACCTAAAGGAAAGACATATGCCACCACCCCCCCTCCTGCCCAGTGACAAGGCAGCCCACATTGATATCAAGAATTACAAAATCAGCCAAAACCGGTTTGGCTCAATGGATAGAGCGTCGGTCTGTGGACTGAAAGGTCCCGGGTTTGATTCCGGTCAAGGGCATGTACATTGGTTGCGAGCACATCCCCGGTGGGGGGTGTGCAGGAGGCAGCTGGTCGATGTTTCTCTCTCATCGATGTTTCTAGCTCTCTATCCCACTCTCTTCCTCTCTGTAAAAAATCAATAAAATATATTTTTTAAAAAAGAATTACAAAATCAAACAAAAATGTGGGAGAAATCTAGAGATTAGAGAAGCAAACAAAAACCCTGGAGGGGCCGGAAGTAGAAACTGACTGTGAGGAGGACTGAAGAAGTGTCTGTGCATCACTGGAAGCACCAGGCACACCGCAAGACAGAGCGGAAAGGGCCCTGACAATTGGAATCGGAAATGACTAGGCAACCTGACAATCAGGAAGCAAGAGGGAAGGCTGAATGGTGAGCCGCAACAGTCTTGTCTACAACTGAACTCCATCCTCAGAAGGCTAGGTCCAAGCAGAAGAAAGATCGGGATATAAGAAGTTGGGGTTAGGGGCTTAAAAGGGAAAAAGGCAAAAATGATGTCTGACATAGGCAAGTGAATAAGGTCAAAGATCAGAAACTCTGACCTCAAATCTAATCTACTTGTAGCCACCTACTTCAACTCGGACATTCATTCATTCACTCATCTGTCCTTGCACTGCTTGACTCTAGTACAGTGGTCGCCAACTGGTGGTGGGTAAGGTCCGAAAGGTTGGGGGCCACTGCTCTAGTAAGTCTACAATGGTGCTATCCTCAGTTTCATCTTGGAGCATGGAAAAGAGCCTGGCTGGTTTCCTAAATTGCTCTACCCCTCAAATCGTTGGTAATCGTTGCTTCATATTATAGATTCTCCTCCATCCCCAAGCTGCCCCAGCTGCTCACCAAGTAAGACCTGTAGGCCCACCACGTGCACTATCCTTAAACACAGGAGGAGCAGGGGGCAGGCCTAGTGGCTGAACTTCATAGGTCTAAAAGGGCCTCCATCCCAAATACCTCTATCACCAACCTGCCATATTCCCTAAACCCTCCCATCAGTTCATTTCCTTTAGACTCAAGGAGGTTTTAGCTAAACTACTCCAGAAGACAAGTCACTGCCAGCCATGGATTCCACTGTGAGAATGAATGCATAGCTGTTTCATAAGACAACAGCAGCAGCTGGGCACTGAGGAAAGGAAACAGAACAAGATTCGCAAGGGGAGAATGGGAGGGCAGAGGACCAGGGGCAGAGCGTGGAACAAGGCCAGCCATGGAGGCCAGGACTCCAGCACTCAGGGGGTGCAGCAAGGACAGAAGGTATCCTGGAAACAAAGGAGGCAGCATGAACCCCTCAATCCCCTCCTACCCTAACGGTGCACAATGCTCCAAGAATAACGTCTTGTATTTATAAAGGTTTTAGAGCTTACAATGCCCTTCACACAACCACCACCTCATCTGGGTCACACAACAATGGAAAAGAGGCAGAATGCAGATGGCTGTTTCAAGGTCAATGATTTTGAAGCCCAGATGACTGGGTAACTAGTAAGCAACAGAGCTGGATGCTTCCAACTCTTGGCCTAGCTTTCCATGCACAGTGGTTGAGTGCCCATCTGAAGACACACGGAACTACTAGTAGAGGAAACCCAAACTCTGAGCCTGATTCGTTGTAGAATCTGTACAAGTTATCTGACTCCTCTGAGCCTCAATTCCTCCTCTGCAAAATGGGGATGTAACCAAGGTCTCCTGAGGAAGGGTCTTAAAAGAGCTTAGCATGGCGCGAGGCACGTAGAAATCAGGCAGCGGACATAGCCATTACCTCTCGTTACTGGTATCCCTGACACAAAGCAGAGCTCTAACCTGCCCTGTTAGGATCACCTGAGGTGCCCAGCATGACTGCCCCCCAGGCCTCTCACCAGACTGCTAATTCACTCTGCAAATATATGGTCCAGACACTTGTATTTCTTTTCTTTGCTCTTTCTCTTTATTTTTTATTTCTTATATGTCTCTTGAGTGATTCTAATGCAAAATGTCATAATTAATAATAATATAAAGCAGTGATTTCTCAAAATCTACAGTACATTCAAATCACCTGACGGTCTTTTTAAACTGCAGACTCAGTAGAGCTGGGGTGAGATCTGAGATTCTGCATTTCTAGCATGCTCCACAGAAAGGACTTAAGAGCCAGGGGTGGTGCGGCTCAGTGGCTGAGTGTTGACCTATAAACCAGGAGGTCACAGTTCAATTCCTGGTCAGGACACATGAATGGGTTGCAGGCTTGATACCCAGTGGGGGGCATGAAGGAGGCAGCTGATCAATGATTCTCAACATTTGTGTTTCTATCTCTGAAATCAATAGATAGATAGATAGATCCTCTTATATAATAAAAGGCTAATATGCAAATTGTCCCCTCTACTGTAGTTTGACCAGGAATTCGATCAGGGGGCAGGGCCAGCTGGCCAACCTCCCACATCCCCTCCCCCCGGCCAGCCCAATCAGCCACGATCAGGACGGGCCAGGCAGACCCCACCTGTGCACAAATTTGTGCACTGGGCCTCTGTGTGTGTGTGTGTGTGTGTGTGTGTGTGTGTGTGTGTGTGTGTGTGTGTATGTGAGACACAAGGCTAATATCCAAAGTGTCCGACCATCTGACCGGTCGCTATGACGTGCACTGACCAGCAGGGGGCAGATGCACAACACAGGAGCTGCCGCCATGATGTGTATAGAGAAACAGCACTGCAGATCTGATGCCCACTCAGCTTCCCCCAAATGGGACACAGGCCCTGCCACCACCCTGACTGACACTCCACCACGAGAGGAATCCACCTGTTATACTCCACAAACCACAGATTGCATCTTACGAGCACAGTTTTTTCAAGGTGCCAATTGAAAACAAAAACATTTCCCCAGGTAAGTATGTGACTTCCGAAGTTTAAAAGGCAGCTAACAGTGGAAAGCTCAACAGAGCATGCAAAAGAAAGGCGCTGACTGCCTGCGTTCCACCTAAATACCCTTCCTCTGAGGTGGGATCCAGCTGAACACACCTGGTGCTCAAAACCTAGAAAATTAATGCAAATGAAATTGGAGATGATAGGGAAACACTGTAAATGAGCAGAATACATTTTACTAGTTAAAGGAATGAAGCCACTCAGAATACAGCTGTTCTCTGCAAATAAAGCTCCCCCCACCACATAACCCTGTGAATGGAAACACCATACCTGATGAGATCGGGCTCTGCACCCTCCTTCTTAAAGGATGCCAGAAGGAGTCTCTCTCGGGTTACAAGATCATCCAGTAGGTTCTGTCTTCGGTCCCCTTCAAGCTGGGTTCTGCAGACATCTCGTTAAGGTCCAATAGTGCATCAATGACCTCATTCTACCTATCACATTATTAACTGAGCTGACTGTTCGGACTCTAGTCCATCCTGTCCATAAGAGATTTGAATCACCTTCTTCTCCTGCTCTGACCTTCAATTTCACAGTCGTTCAAGTAAAGGACCCTAACTGGCCCTCCCAGGGGACTTACAAACACTGGAATGGACCCCTCACTAAGGAATGCAATAGGTGAACAGTATTTTCCTCCCAGTGACCAACACTGAAACAATCATTCCTGTCAAACAGGACAGTCAGTGATTCCTCAGGTTTTCAGTTACAGCTGTCAATAGTCAAGGGTGTTTTCCTTGACATCAATATGCTAAATACACTGTTAAAAAAGAAAAAGAGGGAAAAAAGGTTCCAGCATTGACTTCTTCCTTCCATGTTAACACCTATGAACACCTGGAATAAATTTTGTAAAGTGCCACTTGATGCAACAGATTTGCTCTAAAAGTTGTTTCCATCCATTTATTATTTAAATACATTGCATGATCTTAAAAGAAAATTACAAGGAGATAACCATATTTTAATCTGTTGATCTACTACGAAGCATAGTGTTCAAAATAGGACTTCAAAATCATAGATAGTGTTCAAAATAGGACTTCTAGACTAGGAAACCTAGAAGTCCTATTTTGAACACTATCTATGATTTTGAACCATGATGTGTTTCTATGTAATGACAGGTAAACTCTAACACCTTTTCCAGCACAATGCATAACTTATGGGTAAAAAAATAAATCAGGATTAAATCCAACATTTTATATACTAGCTTTCTTGAAGTAACTACATGAGCTCCTCTAGGCTCTGTGTGTGTGTGTGTATGTGTGTGTGTGTCCATGTGTTTTTTAAAAACAAAATAAAGGAACGTTGATGGAGAAGACTTCTGCCATAAAGGGAACAAGTGGAGAAAGCTAAGGAATACCTTTGAAATGATACACAAAAAGCACGCACAAAGGTAAGCCAGCTCAACATGCTGGGATTTATTGGGCTTTTACTTTCCGATTAAATGCCCTCTGTCTTCCTAGAGCTGAAACTGGTGACTCAAAGCCCTGGCCACCACGACCTGCTCTAGAAGACATCAGTGAGACAGCTGCATTGGTCTTACAGATTCTTTTCTTTTAAAAGGGGGGCCAGCAACACTGCAGTTGGGCCCCCCAAATTCTAAGGAATTGGCAGAATCAAGTAGTAGCATCATCATCGCCTGGTGAGTAAGGAAGAAACTGTGGCCCAGTGAATCTACAGCTTGTGTTGCTAATTTTGAATACAACGAGCTGGCTAGCTAGTAAAACGGTAATAAACCTGTAAAAATTTTCCCCCAAAACAGACAGTAGTTAGGAAAGTCATTAATTCCCAAACCAATGTAGCTAAGCAGTGTTAGTGGCTTTTTATATTAAAAAAAAAGAGTTATCTCAACATTCCAGAATGCCATGCTTTTCTGAGTAAAATTACTACCACCGTTTTTTCCTTCCTCCTGCAGATATATTTCCTTCTTGACATTTTCATTTTCCTTCCTCCTGCAGATATATTTACACATCTAAACAGACTCAGAAAATCACTAAGTACCCATCATAGAGACCATGAAGTAGCAGCTCTAACTAAGATGCAGTGGGTTAAATACTTTTTCTGTCTTAATAAAAGGGCCAAACATTAGCAACATCAAGAATAAATAGTGATGTGCCTCAAATTAATGGTAAACAGTGAATAAAGCAGAATGCTCTTCTATCTAAAGGAAGTTCCTCCAAAAACAAAAATGTCAGAAGCTACAACATGAATTACATAGGACAAAACAGGGATTCTAAATTGTGGAAACTATTAATTATATCACAATACTATGCTCAACTTACTCTGGCGACCTGTGATTTTCAGCATCCAACACCCAAGCAAGGATAAGCTGAACTATAATCCAATGTTACAATTAAACACAGATTTAACTGGCTCAAGGATTTAAACATAAAAAGTAAAATGATAGGAGTATCCTTAGAAGAAAACAGAAGAGCTTTTTAATAATCTTGGAGTAGTAAAAATCTTTCTGGACTAAAAACCCAGAGGTCATGGTTCCATTCCTGATCTGGGCACATGGTAAAAACTAACAAAAGAAGCATGTAGGGAGAAGGTACGTTTAATCATAAAAACAATAAAGACACATTTTAAAATTTAGCAGACACTAGTTACAGATTTAAAGTACTTAGGAATGGACTAATTTCCTTAGAGAACATCAATTTCAAAAGCAGTACGACTCTCCTGTGGGCTTGATCCACAGTGTGGGGTATGCAGGAGGCAGTCAATCAATGATTATCTCTCATTGTTGATGTTTCTCTCTCTCTCTCCCTCTCCCTTCCTCTCTGAAATCAATACCAAAAAAAATTTTTTTTAAAAGAACAAAATTATGAGTAGCAGCTAATTCTCAAGGAGGGCTTATTACATACAAACCACCTTCTATCCATATAATTTTATCCTCACATCAATCCTATAAACCAGGTCTATTTTTGTTACCCCTTTTTCTTTTTCACAGACGAGAAAAATGAGGCACAAAGAGGTTAAGTAACCTGTCCAAGGTTACACAGAAAGTGTAACTATCTTTTATTCTACCCCCACCGCATGGGGGTCTGGTCCTGAGAGGGGCTTTAAATGCATTTTCTTCAACAGCCTCGCGAGGTCTGATCATTCCTGCGCTACAGAATGAAACAGGTCAGAACGGCTACCCCGCTCTTGGGCCTGGCGGAAGTGGCGGAGCTGGTCTCGCCTCTCAGTTCTGTCTGGCCCCAAAGCCAGTGATGCTCCTACTTCTCAGGCGGTGCCTGGAATTGGATCTCATGGAGCAGAGACACTTCCAGACAAACGGGGAAAGGAGGGAGACTTATATGAAGCTACCAACTGTATTTCGCCGCGTATGGATATTCAGAAAAACCGCAACAGACAAAACTGCTTTTACTGTCATGATGAAAAGATTTGAACTCTAAAAATGAGAAAGAACCGTGTAAACAGACTATAAACCAGAAGGTTTTCTGCTAACAAACTCGATCTCGTCTTTGTTGTTCTCACATCGCTGGGCACCGTGAAAGCAGCCACGGGCAGGCGCAGGGGCTGAGAACCACCGCGCTGCCCCTGGAGCCACGCGGGGCTGTCACTGAACTCTCCGCACCTACATTGTGGCGAGTGTTAGGAGGTGCCTGCTGCATCTATCCTCCCATCTACCTCTCTACCTTTTCCCAAAGAAAAAACTAATACCAAGTGGAGAAAAGTCATCCATAGATTTGTAAAAATTATTCTACAAAACGTCTCCCATCACACCAAAACATCTTTTGATACTGAATCCCTTTGTAAAGAGATTTTAAAATTCACTTTACATCCAGCCACCTTTGAAAACCCAAGCACCATGAAAAGAAATGCAAGCGCCACCTGAAATTTCACAGGCAGCTGCTAGCACTCACCTCTCTCAGCTGGTGAGGCCATTACACTTCCATCTCAAAGACGCCCTGTGAATAGGAGCTAATGTCTTTCAGCAATTTCAACTCTCCGGCTGCAGGACTTGGGTTTATGAATTGCAAACTAACCAGTTCAAAAGCACAGAACCTTCACTTTGATTTCACATTTATTCCTGCCAGAAGAAAAATGCTTTTTCGGGAAAGAGCAATAACATCTTATGCTTGAACTCCATGAATGTCATTGTCTGGAAGGCGTTTTCATAGGGCTTACCTTTCTGGCAGCGCCTAGTGTTCTTTGGAAAGCATCACGAATGCAGAAGCGCATAAATTCACTCAGTAAAGTACCATAAACTCTCAACTACCCGACACAGTAAGGAAATGTGGCATTCAAATATTCACATTTAAGCAGTCACCCATCATTAATTATGCCCTGAAAACAGGATTAAAAAGTTTAATATTGGAGATTTATGGACAAAAATGTTTCTAAGAATTACAACATCATAAAGTGTACCTAATAAGCCACAGGGAACACTGTTTAATCTCCGCGATGATGAAGAAGGGTCTGGAGCATCTGCACCATATGATTTGTCTTGGCAATGCAGCAGCGCGCCAGTGAACACGCTGGTTGAAGACAAGCCCCGTGACAGGTGACTGTGTAATCCCTACTCAGTTGGAAGTCAGCTTTTAAACCACTGGCTTTGAGGCCAGACAGCCCTGCGTTTGCATCTTAGCTCTTCCATTTCCCAGCTGTGAGGACCAGGGCACATCACTGGAGATTTCAAAGGTGCCTCTCCTCAGTGTGAAAGCCTCTGCTGAAAGGCTGGGCTCCATCAGTGACTTAGAGCTGTGGTCGGCAGCCACATGCGGCTCTTTGGCCCCTTGAGTGTGGCTCTTCCACAAAATACCACGGCCTGGGCGAGTCTATTTTGAAGAAGTGGCGTTAGAAGAAGTTTAAGTTCTCGAAAAAAATTTCAATCACTGTACTATTGACATTTGGCTCTGTTAACTAATGAGTTTGCTGACCACTGACTTAGGATATTGTGCAATACCCTCTTTGTAACGAAGGGAAGGAGCCATCCAAACAAACTGACAATATGAGCATATCTATACTAATAATAGGGTAATATGCAAATTGGTCAGGATGCTGTCATGACAGGAGCAGGGGCAGGAGCAGTCAGGTGGGGACTTGCAGCTTTGGGGACGGGGGCGGGGCCGCAGCAGAGAGGCCTCTCTGCACGCCTGTGGCAGGGTCCGCAAAGAGGACCCTCTTCTGTGGGCCCACCAGGCCGAGGGTCCGTAGGCACCACGGCCTGGCCAGGAGGCAGGGTCACAGCGGGGGCCTCTGAGCACCTGTGCCATGGATCCACAGCCTCTGCCATGGCCTGGGGGTCCATAGGCCTCCCCCAGCTCCAGCCTACCTCTCTGAGGCAGTCCATCAAGGAGCCATGGATGGGTGGGCAGGGCCTATCTCTCTGGGATGATAGGTTGCGAGGCTCCTGCACTGTGACAGGACACAGGCCAGGGAGGGGAACCCCCTCCCCCCGCTGAGACCCCAAGTGCATGAATTTCGTGCACCAGGCCACTAGTTTAGACTAATAAATTGCTATCTGATATACCAAAATCTGGAGGATAACTGCCATAGAATTACTTAAAATACCTGGGAAGAGGAAGATCAGGGGAAGAGCTGTGGGGAAAAGAGAATTAAAAAGAGACCTTCAAAACAGAAAATGCCTCCTTCTTTCCTTTCTATCAAAAGTCTCCAGAAAATACAGAGGTTTGCACTCTAGGTGGTTTTGCTCAGTGGATAGAGTATCGACCTATGGACTGAAGGGTCCCAGGTTCAATGCCAAGTCAAGGGCACATGTCCGGGTTCAATCCCCAGTAGGGGGTGTGCAGGAGGCAGCCTATCAATGATTCTCTCTCATTATTGGTGTGTTTCTGTCTCTCCCTCTCCCTTTTTATCTGAAATAAAAAATATATATACTTAAAAAAAAAAAATACAGAGGTTTGGATGGTCCCCATGGAGTGGATTATATAAATTTCATCCTTAGTATTTGTTTTATTCCAGGAGATATAGACCCAATTGTTTGAAATATATATAGGATTTATATTCCAGTTGAGTTTTGTAGTTCTCCTAGGAAATTCTAAATTATCCATAGTAAGGTCTTTAAATATTTTCATAATGTTGCTGAATAATTCTGTTTGGTAATTTTAAATTCTTAGTGCTTAATTCAGCAATTCTGAGATCACCACAAAACCAAAGTCTAAGACATTCCAACAGATGGTCAGACTGCAGGCATGTAGAAGAACCAAGTCCATTATTAGGGTAGAATGCTTACTATTCCCTATAATTAACAACTACCAGAAATTATTAATAGAGAAAAGTATAAGTTTTTTTTGTGTGTGTGTGTTTTTTAATATATTTTATTGATTTTTAACAGAGAGGAAGGGAGAGAGATAGAGAAACGTCGATGAGAGAGAAACATCGGCCAGCTGCCTCTTGCACACCCCCTACTTGGGATGTGCCCGCAATCAATGTACATGCCCTTGACCGGAATCGAACCTGGGACCCTTCAGTCCACAGACCGACGTTCTACCACTGAGCCAAACCGGCTTCGGCAAAGTATAAGTTTTTAATTTGAACCCTTTGTGCCTTACATGCTTGGCACATAAATATTATTAGATGAATAATAATCAGTTACCTTAATGGAAGTTAGCAAATACATAGTTGTTAATATTGCCTTGTGTAACAATACTCAGTTACCTTTCAAATATATGTGCTTTAGATAACAACAAAATGAAATTTCACACCTTGACCTCATGTGCAGACTTCCCAGTACTTAGTACTAACGTGGAGAAAATAGCCTACCAATTTAAAACTTGTTGATTTTGATAAAATAAAAACTCTATATATAATAGATTAACTGTGCAGTAAGTAAAAAATGATACCAGGTGGAAGATAAAGTTAAAAACGAAATGTATTCGAATATTCCAATCTAGTTAAAAATAAGGTCCTGCTTGCTTATTGAAATTAAACTTTTATTCTGAAACCTTAGTGACTTAATAACTGAATATATGAAAAATCATGCAACTAATCTAAACAAACCTCCCTGGTGACATAAAGGGGGTTACACTTGGAGAAAAATATTTTTTAAAAACATTTTCTATTGTTTTATCTAAAAAACTATATTCCTATATTTTCCCCTATTTAAAAGTGTGCAATAACAACTATTTCCTGAGATACTACAATTTGAGTTTTGGGTATGAACTACTGACAATTTTAAGAAATGAAGAGAGGACTAATTTGATGTCAATTTCCAAATTGATATAAGCTCGGGTTAAAGGATTCATTTAGTTCATAGGTCACATGTATTTCACTAAATTGGCCAGATTATGAATTTCTTAAAAAAAAAAATTAATACTTGACAGTGTTGGTGGAAGTTGAGATGATGACTCAACTTGCTTCAAGCAACTGCTCTCCCCTCCATCCCCCCAAAATTCCCAAACCAGAGTCAGTGTTCGTACAGCATGAAAAATAATAAGGCAAACAAGTTACATCCCAATAATCTATATAAACTGAGGGGGAGGTGGGGAGTATGGTTTCTACTGATACTGCCCTTCAAGGCAGTCTAGACAGGTAGTAAGCCCAAATAAGCTAATTCCTTCAGTATGTCTTGCTTCGCTAGCATATTCACTGTAAAACATGTAACAGACCCTTAAAATAGAAATCAACAGTATTGGGAAATTTTGGAAACCAGGTCTTCCTTAAGCTGTGGAAAAATCTGGGTGGCCCAGATTCCATCCTTTCTTAAAATAAGACCGTTTTTCCTCCCACTCTGGAAGAGAGGTGGAAATGTTTACATGGATACATCTGATGTGTTGACACAGCTCTTAGCAATAAGTCCTTCAAAAGGGCGATCTTTTCCTTCAAATTCTGCAACAAAACTCTGATTGTCACGGTAAGCTGAAAAGAAAAGAACACATCCTAAGTATGCCGGTCCGAACGCAGGGAATCCTCTAAAAGCATCATGTACACGCTGCTTCCTGTGCTATCAATTCAATCCAGGGAGGACTGGGAGAGACCCTTAGCCATTCTCCCAGTGACAGCCTCAGGGGCCACGGAATCTGAATGGTCACTGCAACCTGAGCAGGTGGCAAGCCAGGCATGTCTAACACTGGCATTGACTGGAAACTGTCACTTTGCCCTCACCATCTACTAACTTCTGTCCCCGGAGAATCAACCTTCTGATCCTGTCTGTCCCTCTTGGAGACGGTGTTCTCCAGGCTTCGTTCTCCCCAGTGAGAACCACCATCTTACTAGGAATAACGCATTTAAAAGCTTTATAGCCGTGTGTTCTTTCTACACACGAGGAATGTTAACTAAACGTTGCTCTTTTTCCAGGATTGTGTGAATTTTTTTCCAATCATTCTATAAACCCAGAGGCAATTTCTGTTTGTGACTATCAGTGCTACCTTAAAGGACAAAGGAGGGGTGGAGAGAGAGCTCCCTAGGAGCTTAGAAAAGTGAAAAATAAAATCACCCCTGTAAATTAAACATAGCGAACCATGGATGAAATCAGAGATATGTTTCAAAAGACAGACTATCACAGGTTTCATGTGCTGTCATGTTAAAAATGGCAATTATATAATAGAACCATAGTGGGAGCAGGGGCTCCCTCCCAAAATTAACAGCAGAACGCCTGAAACGGGCCAAAGGCTGCCCACATGAAGCAACCTTCAAAGAATCGACAGCCAAGGAAAGTCTAACCTAAACTATTCTGATACCTCTGGGGACCACAGAAAAACCACCCACAATGTTTATGGGGAAACTCCAAAGAGAGGATATTTCTCCTCATTCTCGAAGTAAAGAGCTAAATAAACAAACAAAAAAGCAACACACACACACACAAACACACACACACACACACACACACACACACACACACACAGGCCTAAGAAGAATCTACAAAGTTAGTGCTCGCTTGGGTAGCACATACACTAAAATGGAAACAGTACAGAGAAGATTAGCATGGCCCCACACAGGATAACACGCAAATTCGTGAGTGTTCCATATTAAAAGAGAAAAGTATTCAAGAGATAAGAGAGAATGTAGTCATTAAAAAGTATGACTGAAATAAAAATGTTGACATAGAAAGCCATCCATCATAATTTATTAAAAGGAGAAAAAAATCAAGTCATAAAACACAATGTCATCCACACATGGAGAAAACAATCCAGGAACTAAATACATCAAAATGGCAAGCATGGTTATGTAAGCAGGGAGAAATGATTACTTTTATAATCAGGGGAAAAAACTCCTATTACCATAATTTAACAGAAACTTTACAAAGAACAGAAAAAGAAGAAATGCCTAATTCATAGTTTAAGCTTCCACACTCTGGTAACAAGCACTAACAGAGATAATAGAAAAGGGAAGCCACATGGCAATCTCCATTAAAGGTTATAAATGTAAACATCTTTTGAAAATATTAGCAAAGCAAATTCAGAATTACATTAAAAATTACAATAGACCATCACCAAGTAAAATTTACACTAGTAACTTAAGAATAGTTTGTTGTGAAAAAAAAATCTAATAATAAAGCAAATAGGGTTAATGATTAAAAACAGAAAAATATATGATTAATACAGTATGGGAGAAACTATTTAAAAACAAAACAAAGAAAGCAAACTATGAATGAAGCACTATTGCCTTAACTGCAATATTATTTAACTTTGGTCTAGAAGTTTTAACCAATGCAGTAAGACAAATTAAAGAAATACATTAGGGCTAGAAAGGAAATGAAATTATTTTTATTCAGATTATTAATAGTCTATTTGGAAAAGTTAAGAGAACTGAAAGATTACTAGAAACAGGGAAAAATTCACTAAATCAAGGACATTCCTAAATTCAGTATTAGCTAGGGAGAATTATTTATTATTTTAAGACATTATTATTATTATCAACACAATCTAAAAATTAATCTAGCACAGTATCTGGCCTATAATAACTGCAGGGAATACTGCTGAAGGAATGAGTAAAAAGAAAGACTCAATATTGTAAAAAATGTAAATGCTCTCCAATTTAATATAGTCAAAAATTCCATATGAGTCCTTTTATAAGACAGGAAGTAATAATTATAGTAAAGGCACAGCGCAAAGTTCTTTTTTCATGAAGCTGTGAAAGATCACTCTAAAAGAAGGATAAATGAAGAAAAATATAGAAAATTCATAAATAGGTATAATCCCAGGGAATTAAGTAATCAGATAATAAATCTTTATTAAAAACTACAAGAGTATTATGTTGGCAGCTGCTAACAATTTCATTAGTAAAATAGATCAGAAGGTCCAGAAATAGTTCAGTTGTGTGAAAGTTCAATGAATGAGATACAGAATATTAGGTCTAGTAATAATTAATGTCGTTTTCTAATACTTTTTTAAATCGAATTTATTTAAACAATACAACAAAATTTAATCAACAATATAGTTGCCGTTGTTTTCTACTACTTGTGCCCAATGCTCAGGAAGCATTTTAATCCCTCTGTTGCAAAATTCTTGTGATTTTGATGCAAAAAATTCGGTCAATGCATTTTTGAGGCATTCTTCATTATTAAATTTTTTTCCAAGAAGAAAGTTTTGCAAAGAACGAAACAAATGGTAATCGGAAGGGGCAATATCAGGAGAATATGCAGGTTGAGGGAGAACTTCCCATTCCAACTGGCGCAGTTTTTCAGCAGTGATTCTTGCAGTATGCGGTCGTGCGTTATCGTGGTGAAGAATTACGCCCTTCCGATTAATCAGCGCGGGTTTTTTTTCTCTTAAAGCTTGGGCTAACCTTTCCAATTGGGCACTATACACTGCACTTGTAATGGTTTGGTTAGATGGTAAAAGTTCATAATGAAGAATTCCTTTAAAATTCCACCAAACACACAACATCACTTTTTTCGCATGCAAGTCAGGTTTTGGCGTGGGCTGAGGAGCCTCATTTTTGTCCAACCATTGAGGCCGCCTTTTCAAATTAACATACAGAACCCATTTTTCATCTCCGGTAACAATTTGCTCTAAAAACGGCAAACGGTTTTGACGAGAGAGGAGCGAACTGCAAATTGTGACTCTTTGATTACGGTTGTTGTCGGTCAACTCATGAGGAACCCATTTTCCAAACTTTTGGACTTGGCCAAGTGCACGCAATTGATTGGAAATTGTTTTTTGTGAACAATTTAAAGTTGTCGCAAGCTCTTGTTGGGTAATTTGAGGATTTTGCACCAAAAGAGCTTGAAGAGCTTCTTGTTCAAAATTGGACACATGGCCTCGACCACTCTTGTCATCTAACGAGAAATTTCTCAAACCAACGCTGGCATTTTCTGGCGCTAACTGCATCTTGACCAAGAGCACTACAGATGTTTTTTGCAGCCTCACTTGCTTTTCTTCCTAATTGGAACTCGTAAAGCATGCAGTGCCGAATATGCTCTTCATCCGCCATCTTCTTAGCCCTAATTTTGCAACAAAAACCAAACCAAACACAAACTTTTTCAAGCAAAACTTGTTAATTGCACTTCACACGTTCTGTAGATACCACGTGTTTGAAGGTTATGTCAATACAAGTCAACGCCAAGCAAGATTTTAAACGAATGTTTAAAAACGACATTAATTATTACTAGACCCGATATTTCATATATTTTGGGTGAAGATAATTAATAATTTATCAAATGGGGGGAAATCAGATCCCTACAACACACTAAAATAAATCGCAAATATTATAAAGATTTATGTGTTTAAAAAAATAAAAACAGAAAAAAAGCTTAATAGGTAGACAGAGGTAGATGGCTATCCAAACACATCAACAGGGCCTATATATTGACATAGAACTCAAAAACCAATTGTTTGTCTTTGTCTGTCTGCTAATAATACTAGTCATAATAATAGTTATGCTTGAGAGAGAAACCAAGATGGCAGCATAGGTAAACACCTGAACTTGCTGCCTCACACAACAACTTCAAAACTACAACTAAAAGACAAAATGGACAGAACCACATCCAGAACCACAGGAAGGCTGGCTGAGTGGAAATTCTACAACCAGAAGGGAAGAGAAAAGCACACTGAGACTCAGAGGAGCTGCAGAAGTAAAGTGTGGAGGTAGGGAGGCGTGCGCGCAGAGAGGACTGGCAACTGACTTTCTCAATCGGGAGGGAGACATAAGCTTCCCACTGCTCTGAACTCCAGTTCTGGGTGAGACTCTGGGGACCCAGACTCATATGGGGAGAAACTGGACTGTCTGGCAGCAGACTGAACTAGAGGACGGATTTCTCTCAGAGGTGCTTGCAGCGCTTACCGTGGGACACTGAGACTCGGGGGGTCTCTTAGGGCAGGGCTGATGGAAAGCCATTGCTGTTTGCTCTGCCCTGAGACTCTGCCCCATCCAAGCTGTACACAGAGGCTATTGAATATGAATGGCCTGGTTCTTTGAAATCTAAACTTACCTAATAAACTGCAGCTGAGTCAGCGAGATCCAAAAAATCCAAAAGAAGACCAAGGCCCCACAGCAGCTTGCACTGCTTCACAGCTGGGCCTCATGAGTCTGGGCACCTCCAAAACCCAAACAAACAAGAGGAATCTGCTGGATGGCCTCAGGCAGAGGCTAAATTAGCACCTCCTTGGAGTCCAAGAGCCAGTGTACCCAAGAGTCAGAGTAGGACCATCCAGATTACAACTCCTCAGATCCATAAGGGATACACTCAGGGAGCAGTCTCAATGAGCACCAAAGTCCCACTGAAGCAAGTATTGCCTCATAAGGGTGTCTCCTCATAAGAAGTTCTCCCATCGTAGACATAGCTGATCCTCACAGCCAATTGCCCTGGAGGTCAATTCCTCCCAGTGATACCAACAACAATCAAGGCTTAACTACAACAAGACTGTGCACACAGCCCACAAAAGGGTGCACCAAGAGTGTCCACCTCAGGTAACTGGGCACTATAGGACACCTGGCACACAAAGTCACTCTATCAACTCAGGGTAGCAGCCAAAATGTGGAGACAAAGAAACAGGTCACAAATGACAGAAATGGAGGAAAGCAAACAACTAGATATAGAGTTCAAAACCATAAGATTATAAGAATATTCAAAAATATAAGATTTTGCAAGAATTTTCTAGAAAAGGCCATTAAGTTTAGTGAGACCCTTGAGGATATGAAAAAGGATCAACTAGAAATTAAGCATACACTGACTGAAATTAAAAAAAAATAATAATATACAGACATATAACAGCAGACTAGAGGACTGCAAGAATCAAGTCAAAGATTTGAAATACAAAAAAGCAAAAAACACCCAACTGGAAAAGCAAAAAGAAAAAAGAACCAAAAAATATGAAGATAGTGTAAGAAGCCTCTGGGACAACTTGAAGCATACCAACATCAGAATTATGGGGGTGCCAGGAGAAGAGAGAGAGCAAGATACTGAAAATCTATTTGAAGAAATAATGACTGAAAACTTCCCCCACCTGGTAAAAGAAATAGACTTACAAGTCCAGGAAGCACAGAGAACCACAAACAAAAGGAATCCAAAGAGGACCACACCAAGACACATCATAATTAAAATGCCAAGAGCAAAAGACAAAGAGAGTCTTAAAAGCAGTAAGAGAAAAACAGTTAATTAACTACAAGGGAGCACCCATATAATTTTCAGCTGATTTCTCAACTTAAACTATGCAGGCCAGATAGGAGTGACAAGAAATATTCAAAGTGATGAATAGCAAGAACTTACAACCAAGATTACTCTACCCAGCAAAGCTATCATTCAGAATTGAAGATAAGATAAAGAGCTTAACATATAAGAAAAAAGCTAAAAGAGTTCATCACTGCCAAACCAGTATTAAATGAAATGCTAAAAGGTATTCTTTAAGAAGAGATAAAAGAAGAAAAAGGTAAAGAAAAAAAATTATGAACAACAAATACATATCTATCAACAAGTGAATCTAAAAATCAAGTGAATAAAAAATCTGATGAACAGAATAAACTGGTGAATATAATAGAATCAAGGGTATAGAAAAGGAGTGGATTGACAATTCTCGGGGGGAAGGGGTGTGGGGGTGTGGGAAGAGACTGAATAAAAATCATACACCTATGGATGAGGACAGTGGGGTGGGGGTAAAGGGCAGAAGGTGGAGTGGGAACTGGGTGGAGGGGAGCTATGGGGGAGAGGGGAGAAGAGGAACAAATATAATAATCTGAACAATAGAGTTATTGAAAAATAATAATGAAAAATTAAAAAATAGTTACACTTGATCTTTTTCTTCTATACAATTTGTTTATTATTATTGAACATGTATGAGATAACTGTTCATACTCTTTTATTGCTTAGGTAAATGTTATAGAAGACACCAAAATAATGAGTGAGACAGATGGCAATACCTGGATCATCATAATTCACAGGATAGAACTGATCCAGTGTGTTTTTTTGCAGAGAAGGCCATAAGACCTGACTGCCTTCCATTTACCTGCTCTTCCTTTTGGGGGAGAAATTAGGCCTCCACTCAGATCCCATGGTAATAGTACTGTCCCATCCCCAATGGTCAACAAGATGATGTGGATACTGAAACTTCCGAGGAATGAACCTTCCTAGATCTGTAAGACCACACTATTCTCAACCAAAAGGCTGACCATCAGCAAGTCCTTGGGATTGATTTATGACCAAAAGGGGGAATTGTGGATGGAAGAAAGAAAAAAGGGTGTTCTATGCAAAGTAAATTCACAGGGTGATCTGATCATAAATTCCTAACTGGGCAGGTCATGGCAGTAGTCATGCCCAAGACCTATAATTTCTTTAGGAAAAAGTTTTAAGCCAACTCTGCCCATTGTTCTTGTGCATCTAAGTTAACACACCTTTAAAATACCATAAGCAAGCCTGGCTGGTATGGGTCAATGGTTGAGCATCAACTTAGGAATCAAGAGATCACCAGTTCAATTCCTGGTCAGGGCACATGCCGGGATTGTGGGCTCAATCCCCAGTAGGAGGCATGCAAGAGGCAACTGATCAATGTTTCTTTCTCATTGATGTTTCTATCTCTCTATCCCTCTCTCTTCCTCCTCTCTCTCTCTCTCTCTCTAAAAATTAATAAAAATATATTTTTAAAAATTTCAAATGCATAAATAAAGCTACAAAATTGTTTCTCTCTCTCTCTCTCTTCCTTCTTTCCATCCTCTCTGGAGGGAAAAAAATCAATGAAAAAATTAATTTAAAAAAAAATCATCTATATCATGGTTCTAAGAATTCACCCTTAAAAGACACTTCTAAAAATACAAAGAAAAAAAGCACAAAGCTATTTATTGCAGCATTATTCATAACAGCAACAAACTGAAAACAAATCTAAATGCTCACTAGAATATTATCAGCCCTAATGAATTAATAGATTTATACAATATATTATTAAATAAAAAGAACAAGATACAAAAGAGCATTTTGTTTAAAAGGAAGAGAAAAAAATACATACACAGATAAAAGCTTATTTCGGCAAATCAAATCAAAAAGTAATGCGGGAAGAATAAATCAAAAATTAATGAAAATACTTACCTATAGGAAGTAGGTGAAGAAAGGGTGGAAGACCGAGATGGGAACAAAACTTTGAGTGTACTTTTGTGGACAATTTTGACTTTTTAACAATGTAAATGTTTTACATATTTAAAATTAAATCAGCAAGGTAAGAGAGAAAGAAAATCGTAAAAATAAGTATAAACAGAAACAAAGGATAGCATAAGACAAAGAAAAAGAGAATCAATTCTTACATTTTTAAATGTAATGTGTAAAAAAAGACTATTATTCTTTTGGTGAAAATGAATACCCAAAGAAATGAGGACATGGCCTCTGGTCCTGCAAAACCTAAAAGAATTACTATATGGGGTGGAACGTATACCAACCCTAGAACTAGACTAAAATGGTTAGAAACTTTTAAGATAAAACAGGAGAAATTAAAGAGAGGTCATGCTTCAGTTAGTCAGTGATTAAGTAACTATTAACTGTTTGGTTGTAATGTCAATGCAACAAACAAACATGTAGACCATTATACATGCACACATATACACACATATACACACACACAAACCCTCAGAAATAAATGGGCGGAGGGGGAGGGGGTTTCAGACCTCAAAGCTCAAACAAATCATTTGCAGTACTACTAGTAATTCCCTCCTGGGCATACCTTGGTTGTACTTTCACCATTTCTTTCATACTGGTTTCTTTGTTGAATTTTCTCAGCAATCTCTTGTGCAATTTGACAAGTAGAATCATATGTGGAGAACCTGTATCAAAGTCATAAAAGGAAAAAAGCATGTAAGGTACTTTAAAAGAATTTATGTATTATATATTTTATACTATATATATGAATTTTTTTCATGTATATCAAAAAAGAGCAGGTGATTCAAGACATGCATCATTAAGAAAATAGGAGGGAGGCTCAAAAGGAAAATTGGATCCTGGTCCCAGCTTTGCTACATTTTCTCTTTTTCTCCTCCACTCTATCTTCTATAATAATAATATCCAGGGATTGTGAGAGGGATGTCTCTTGGTGCCTTGGTGGTTTGCTTCAGCCCTCCCAGCTTGCCTTCACCCAGCTTCGTCTGGAAGGTCGTCCAGAAGGATGTCCGGAAGGATACCTTGTCTAATTAGAAGCAAGACATCCCTCTCACAATCCAGGACTGCTGGCTCCCAACTGCTCACCTGCCTGCTGACTGCCCCTAACCGCTTCTGCCTGCCAGACTGATCACCCACTAACCACTCCCATGCCAGCCTGACTGATGTCTAACTGCTCTCCTGCCAGCCTGTTTGCTCCCAACTTCTCTCCTCTCCTGGCCTGGTCACCCCTAACTGCCCTCCCATGCAGGGTTGATCACCTCCAACTACCCTCCCTTGCAGGCCTGGCCCCTTTCAACTGCTCTCCCTTGCAGGCCTGGTGCCTCTCAACTGCCCTTCCCTGCTGGCCATCTTGTGGTGACCATCTTGTGTCCACATGGGGGCAGGATCTTTGACCACATGGGGGCAGCCATATTGTGTGTTGGAGTGATAGTCAATCTGCATATTACTCTTTTATTATTTAGGATAGAGGCCTGGTGCATGGGTGGGGGCCAGCTGGTTTGCCCTGAAGGGTGTCCTGAATCAGGGTGGGGGTTCCCTTGGGGCATGCGGGGGGGGGGGGGGGGGGGGGGGGGCCTAAGTGAGGGGCCTGTGAATTTTCTCAGCAAAAAAAACGCCCCCTGGCGACCCAAGCAGAGGCCCTGGTATCTGGAATTTATTTATCTTCTACAATTGAAACTTTGTAGCCTGGAGTGGAGCCAAGCCTCCTGCTCTGTCAGTGGCGGCAGCCATCTCTGCTGGAATTTATGTATCTTCTATAATTGAAGCTGTGTAGCCTGGAGTGGAGGCTCAAGCAGGCAAGGGCAGGCAGAAAGCCTGGCTTCCCCATTGCCTGGGAAACCCAAGCCTCCCTCCTGCTTTCTGTGGCTGTAGCCATCTTGATTTGGTTTATTTGCATACTCACTTTGATTGGCTGGTAGGCATGGCTTGTGGGTATAGCAGAGTGATGGTTAATTTACATATTACTCTTTTATTAGGTAGAATGGGGAATCTAAAAAAACAAAACAAAAAATCCACCACCAACTCCTGCCTCTCTCCACAGCATTCTGGTTGAATTGGGATGGTGTTTGCCCTGGATAGGACAAGTTGTTAAAGCTCCCAGGTGGTTCCAATCTGTAACAAAATTTGGGAACCACTGGTCTGGTGGTAATGCAATCTCAGCACTGCATCATAAAGCACACAAGTGCCTCAAGTACTAGTTCAGGAAAATTAACCTGAACTCCATTTTAATAAACTGCTGGGAAGGAGAGAAAGTGACAGGAGACCAGTACAAGACTTCTCAAGCTATTCAATTACATAACCAATCACCAGTATTGACTCTCTGCAAGGCATCCTATCTAATAAAGAGGGAATATGCTAATTGACCATCACTCCATCACAAAGATGGCTGCACCTACAGCTGAAGCCAGGTTCCCATAAGTAACCTTAATGAGCAATCAGCAGGGACCTGAGGCTACGCCCACCCCACCCCCATAGTGCTTGACAGGGAACCTCAGGCCACATCCTCCAACCAGCAGAGATTGACAGGGGACCTCAGGCTGGGGGACCTCAGGCTATGCCCTCCACCCCAGGACCAGGCCAGGGGACCTGAGGCCATGCTCCCTGCCCAGCAGGGCTTAACAGGGGACCTCAAGGTGCACTTTGCGTCCTGGTGCTGGGCTAGGGGACCTCAGACTGCTCCCCCCACCCCAGCACCAGGCTGGGGGATCTCAGGCTGCACTCCCCACCAGGTGGGGCTTGAGAGGGGACTTCAGGCTGTGCCCCCTACCCCAGCACCAGCCGGGGGGCCTCAGACCGCACCTCCCACCTTGACACCAGGCCAGGGATCCTTAGGCCATGACCAGCCCCCTTCCTCCCCCTCCCCTGCCAGGCCAGGGGACCTGAGGCGACGCCCCCCACCTGGAGTGGCTTGATAGGGGCTCTCAAGGTCACTCCCCATCTGGGTGCTGGGCTAGGGGACCTCAGGCTGCTCCCCCCGCCCCAGCACTGGGCCAGGGGACCTGAGGCTGCACCTCCCTGCCTGGCGGGCTTGACAGGGGACCTCTGGTTGTGCTCCCCACCCAGCAGGGCTTGATGGGGGACCTAAAGGTGCACCCCCAGTGCTGGATCAGAGGAACTCAGGCTGTGCCCCAGGCCCAGCAGGGCTTGATGGGGGACCTGAGGCTGTACCCCCTGCTGGTGGGGCTTGAAGGGGAACTCAGACCACGCCTCCTTGCCCAGCGGGGCTTGATGGGGGACCTGAGGAAAAAATAGTGTTAAATCAAGCCCTTGGCCCAGATACCAGATCTTAGTATCTCTGCTAACTTTGATCTTGCAATCCATTCTAATGTCCAGGCTTAAGCAATTACAAACTATAATTACAGATGTCAGCATAAGACATATACTCCAAAAAGAACTTTACAGAACTGTTATGTTCTTAATTATTACACAAAAAGGCTCAAGTCTGATGAACTGTGGCAATCTGTTCCTTGGGATCAGAACTGAGTCTCTCATCATTCAGTCCCTGGGGATTTCATTGTTGAATAAAATAAACAACTAAACAGCTATGGCTTTACTGCAAGGGTTACTGCGGTAGAGTCTTCATGATATTGACTCGAGTCAGGGTAAAATACCTTATAAACAAATGCATAGTTCCCCTCCCAGATTCCCACAAGTTTTCTGAAGGACTCACAAGACGTGGGTCCTAGCGCCAAGGGGTTACCAGCTGGCTGGTGAGGATGGATTCTGAACCTGTGCAATCAGGGGCTTCACGGGGTGGCCAGGCATCCCGCAGAAAGGTGACTCCCACTGCACTGTCCCAGGAGTCCAGCGGAGCCTGCCTCAGCCAGCTCCACAGCAGGGGACGCGGGAAACCCCCGCGGTGAGACGCGGCCCAGAAGGGCGAGCGGAGGGTCCGGATTTCAGCGCGAGCCCTCAGCTCCTGAGGGGTTCCTGGGTCTCCTGCCCCGGCCACCCCTGCGAACACCGAGGGCGGCGGGGTGCGGCAGCCCCTCCTCTTATTTCAAAAGGCCTTCAGCCGCCATGCCCAGCGGCCGCCTGCTCCCCGGAAACCCGGTCTCCCCGCCAAAGACCCCACGCGCGTGGCCGCCGCCACCCGGGACTCACCAGGGGTCCGGAGCCATAGCGCTGTCTCCGCCGCTCCCGGACACTTCCGGTCCGCAGCAGCTGGCTACGGCGGCCCGCGCGGGCCACACCCCGCGCTGCGACCCGAACGCGCTGACTGCCGAGTGAATAGGCAGTAAGCGGGTCTTCCACGCTCCGCCGAGGGACAGTAAGTTGGAGCCATCTGCTTCCTCTAAGAGACGCGAACCGCTGCGTACACTTAAAATAAAATTGTTGAACAAAATGTAATCATGTTGCCTGTTAGTGGAAGTGCCTCTAAACCTCCTGCTGTTAACAGGAAATTGTATCCTGCTTAATACTGAAACGAGCGCGGTGATCCTTATACAAGTGCATAAGTTCACTAAAACTTACTTTAAGTGAATTTTATGATATGTCAATTATACCTCCATAAAGCTTAAACTCCTTTTTTAACCAGCTTCAAACTGGCGACCTGAAGTATTAATTATATATTATTTTATGGCCGTCTCCCCAGCAGAAGAAATCCTCTGTGTGATGAATTTTTAAATGCCATTAAGTACTTGATTATATAGTTACCAAAAGGATCACAGACTCTCTTTGGGGGAAGGAGTAATCCCTCCTGTGCATTTGGTAGCCCCTAACTTTGCAGAAAACCAGGAAAAAGAAGCCCTCTCTCTATTTGCAAAAGAGCTTGCAGGGATTTGAACGCCGCAGGCTAGGTTTAGCGCGGGCGCGGGTCTGATGCGCATGCGCGCGCGCGTTACCATAGCGACCAGAAGACGCTGTGTGTCCCGGAGGGGGAGGGAAAAGTGAGAGGTGTGTCTCCGCAAGTGAGAGGTGTGTCTCCGCAGGATGGAGACCCAAATTTTGCCCAAGACCCAAGTGCTGGAGATGACCGAGGCAGCCGAGGTGGCCGATCTGGAGCTTCAGGCTGTGATCGGCTTCAATGGTGAGGCCAGGAGTCTGTCTGGGCTGGGTGGTGTGGGAATCCTGGGATGTGTAGTGTAAGGTGACCAGATTTTAACATTGATAAAGCAGGACACCATTGACAAGGCAGGGGGAGTTCTTGATTAAAAATTTGGTCTAGCCAAGACCGGTTTGGCTCAATGGATAGAGCGTCGGCTTGGTGACTGAAGGGACCCGGGTTCGATTCCGGTCAAGGACATGTACCTTAGTTGTGGGTACATCCCCAGTAGGGGGTGTGCAAGAGGCAGCTGATCGATGACTCTCTCTCATCGATGTTTCTAGCTCTCTATCTCCTCCCTTCCTCTCTGTACAAAATCAATAAAATATATTTTTTAAAAAATTTGGTCTATATGGAGCAACAAAAATTGTCATAGAACGCAAAAATAGTATTGTAATATATTTTAAAATTTCAACATAAGTACAATTTACAAATATAATAAATAAAAAAATTACGCTAGACTTTTTGCCGCCACTATAAAATATAAGTAATAAGAGTACTGTCTGCTAAATTCAAGAAAATGTATGTATTTATTAAATAAATAAATAAATAAATAAATTACCTAAATAGCTGATTTGTAATGACATCACTTGTTTACCTAGTTAACTAGCACGCAGTACGATGTGTATCGTCTGAGAGACATTACAAAATGTTTTCATCATTGCCAATCCCAAAAAATGCCATTGTTCATTAAGTCCAAAAAATGGTGGTCGAATTCTAACAACTGATCAACAATGCAAACTTTGATAAGCAGTTCTCAATTATCAGTTCTCAACAATTATTTCATTTTCTACATTTATTTTTAAATGCTACAAAGGACATCTGCCTAGGTAACCTTTTTACTCTTTTTTCCTTAGGGTAATTTCTGAGTACATTTTACAGATTTTTGATGTACCCTCCAAACACTATACTTGACATGGAACAGAAATGTGTGCCCAAAAAGCAGGGGAATATTATAGTAGCATTATTTCTTTTTCTTTTTCTTTTTTTGTTGTTGTAATTTTTTTTACAAATAACTGCACAAATTAATAAGCAAAATGCAAATAAACCTATTTTTTTTTTGTTCTCTGAAAGTGAAATATTTCCTGTTGCGCAACCCAACGAGTCAGTCCAAGACAAATTACATGGCAATCAGCTGCTAAAATTATATTTGCTGCCAGTATTAGTGGAGGGAAATGGTGTGTCTATGCATAAGGTGTGTAAGGGAAATGAATGCAATGTGATTATAGTAATCAGTCATTAGCGAACATTGTAGTTTGTTATTAATAATTATGTATAACAGAATATTGTAAAAATTAAGTTATGAAATTTTTATTATAACATTTCCGACATACCGTTATATTGGTGGGCCACAAAAATATTGGGTGGACCACAAAAACCCTTGGGCCTCGAGTTTGACATGCTTGCTCCAAGGCCAATCAAGGTTAATAACAATGAGACTGAAGGATCTCTGGAGGCTTTGAGCCTTTGCCTGATCTCCTTGTGGGTCCAGGTATAGGAAAAGCAGACCCTGGTGCACATCTTGGTCCTTTTTAAAGCCGTGCAGCTCCAGAAGAGGGAGCCGAAAACTGTGGATTGCTAATAGCCCTAAACAGGGTCCTAGGACAGAAACAGCATCTCCCTGTCCTGAGCTAGAGATTGGGAGTCATAGCAGATCTACCTAGCACATAGACACAAACCCAAACAGGCAGCCAAAGTGGAGAGACAAAAAAAAAAAAAAAAGAATGAAAGAGAGAATTCTCCAGAAGAAGAGATAAAATGAAATGGAGATATGAAATTAACTGAGAGTTCAGAATGATGATAAAAATATTAAAAATTCTATAAAACTGCTCATAAAAAAAATTAGCAAACTTTATGAAAGTTTGGGATGTCAAGGAAGGGTTAATTCAAGTAGTCTTTAAAGCTGGGTAGAAGTCAGAGGAAAGACTGAGGAGCAGACTATTCCAGGCAGCAGGAATAGGGTGAGCAAAGAAGGAAGGTGCAGCGTGTGGGGACTGGCTGGAGAATGGCAAAGGCTGTGTGGCTTCAGGGTCAAGGAGGGCAGGGTAACCCACGAAAGAACCTGGGGTCAGATTTTAGAGGCCTTAAATACCAGGTAATTGAGTTTAGTCTCCACATGGAAACAAATTAGAAGCATAATAAAGCCTCTTTTATCATTATGACACTAGCACTCATTGTAGTTTCACGTTCTAGTTTATGAGTTTTAACTTGAGGGAGTAAATGTTTAACTGTACTTGACTCTTTCGGGTATTTTACTTTAATGGGAATTTATTATGTAAGCAAACCAAATATAGTCGTGTTGCTTAGGAAAGCATTTTATAAGGCTACTAGTGGCCCAGTGCATGAAATTCAAACACATTAAAAGGGGGACCCAGAATCAAGTCCCCACCCACCCACATGTGCCTCAAAATCGTGTGAGACCCGGCCCCGGCCCCTCCCCACCACCACCACCACCATTGGGCTAGATCCAGACCTGGCCAGTCCCACCCTTGTCAAGCCCCATCAGGCAGGGGGTGTAGCCTCAAGTCCCTGGCCCGGCATCTGCTAGTTGAGAACTGCTAGCAGGGTCTCCTACAACCATTGGAAAACAGATATTTTACAATTCATAACAGTAGCAAAATTATAGTAATGAAGTAGCAACGAAAATAATTTTATGGTTGGGGGTCACCACAACATGAGGAACTGTATTAAAGGGTCGCAGCATTAGAAAGGTTGTGAACTACTGCATGTAGACCAAGTCTGGGCTTCTGCCTATTTTTGTAAATAAATTTTTATTGGAACCCAGCCAATAAAATGTTTTATCTCTCTCTCCCTTACTCCCTCTAAAGTCAATTTTTAAAAATGCTTTAGCTAAAACCGGTTTGGCTCAGTGGATAGAGCATCAGCCTGTGGATTCAAAGGTCCCAGATTCGATTCCTGCTAAGGTCATATACCTTGGTTGTGGGTACATCCCCGGTGGGGGGTGTGCAGGAGGCAGCTGGTTGATGTTTCTCACTCATCAATGTTTCTAACTCTCTATCCTTCTCCCTTCCTCCCTGCAAAAGCATCAATAAAATATACTTTTTAAAATGCTTTAAAATTTATTTTAAAAATGGTTTAAAAATTTACAGTCTGGAAATGTTTTGGAACTAGATAGAGGTGGTACCATTGGATTATTCATTTTTTTAAAATATATTTTTACTGATTTTAGATTTGAGAGAGAGAGGAAAGAAGAGAGAGAGAAAGATAGAAACATCGATGAGAGAGAATCAGCAACATTGTTTGGCTGCATATACTGGCATTTTCTGTTAGGATTGACTCTTTTGGTGTTATATTTAAGAAGTCATTTCATTGAGTCTTGTTTTTCACATTTAGATCCTTGATCTACCTGAAAGGTATTGTTTGTGGATGGTGGGAAGTGCAGATTTAATTTCACTTATTATGTGGATAGCCATATGATTATTTATAGGGAGCCTGCAATTAGAAATAAACAAATATACATTTTAGTAGGAATAGATCACCCCCAGACATAAAGCTTAGTATTATGAGAACTTACTGCATAAAAAAGGAAAAATAACAAAATTAAAGAAATAATTTACTTGGTAAATACATTTGGCCATCTGAGCAAAAAGGAAATCTATTTAGCTACTGGGATCATACTCTGCTCCAAAATAAATTTTAGAGGGAGTTAAATATAAAAGACAAATTCATTGAAAGACCAGAAAGCTACATTAATAAATGACACTTTATGGTGGAGAATGGAAACATCAATAAATAAGATTTTAAAGTACCCAGGAATAAACCTAATAAGAAATGTATGAGATCTTTCCAAAGAAAAATTGGAAATGCTACTGGGTGAAGGCACATAAAAGGAGAATATGGGAAATATACCCTCTTTTTAGAAAAGAGACATAATGTATCATTATGGAAATTATCTTTTCTTGGATTAATCTATATATTCAATACATCCCATGAAAAATGACTTTTTAACAAGTCAAGCTAAACTTGAAACTTATATTGTAAAATAACTATAAAGAAGAACTAAAACAAATCCTAATCAAAGGTGAGTAATAAGGGGGACTTGTGTCTATTTCACAT